AATGTGAATTATTTCAGTAATGTGAATTTCAATTATTTATTAATTTAATGTAATGCTATTAAACAAATTTTTTGTATTTTTCAGTTGTCAGTGCCTTGGGTAAAAAAGCAAAAAAACTGCTAGCTGAGGGAATAAAATCTACTTCACAAATTCCTGTCGAAACTGATGCAAAAATATTGGTTAGCCAAGTTTGTGGGACAAATTTATTAACAGAAGGAGGAGAAAATATAAAAATTAAGCCAGATTCAGAATATCCAGAATGGTTATGGAAATTTCACTTAGGTAATATTTAAATAAATATTTTATAATAATTTTTCATTAAATATTGTCTTTAAAAATATGCATGCTTTTCAATATTTATCAGGGATTATATATAAATTTAATTTTTTTTTTTAGGTTCATCTTTGACATTAGAAGATATGGATCCAAATACTAAAGAGTATTGGAATTTAGTTAATCATCTAGGAAAGAAACATAAGAAATTTATAAAATCATTAGATAAAACTAGTACAATTCACAAATAAAATTAGTACATGTAAAATAATTTTTTGTAGGTATTTGAAAATTACTTAATTATACTAATTATTTTATTTTAAAAAAAATATAAATCATTTATTTTATATAATTTTGTTTTGTTTTTTTTTTTTTTAAATTTCCGACATTAAAGCCTCATTTCTCCCTTAAAAATGACATCCGTAAAAAAGTGAGGTAAATACATCTATGAAATTTTCCTTTAAATTTTTCCTTTGAATACCATAATTGCGTAGAGTGTTTAAAATTGTGGTCATAACAAATAACCACGTTTATAAAAAAAATGAATTTATTAGACGATTCTGAGGGAGACGTTAATTTTACAATAAATAAAGCTTATGCACAAAAATATGAAAAATGGAGACAAGGAGAAGAACTTCAAAAATGTACAGTAAAACAGTAATATTTTAGTGTATTTTAACCATTTGAATTAGGTTTACATTTATAATTACATATGAAATAAATTTAAAATTTTCAATACTCAATAAATTTATTATAAATTTTGATTGCAAAAATTTTTAGTTAAAAAATATTTTAACTTGCATGAAAATGTTTTTCAAATATACATATTTTATGCAAAATTAAAGTTTTTTTGGAATGAAGTTATTAAAAAAATATGTTTATGTAAAGTTTTCGATAAACATTAAGTTAAACATTTCAAATTTTATTTTTTTTAGTAAAAGACAAGTATGGAGATTGTCCACAGTCAGATACATCTAGTTCAGAAGAAGAAGATGAAGATGGAAGAGTAAGGATTTAAAATAATTTATTTAAAGTGTCTGTTTTTTTAAATTTTAACTTCATTAATAAGTGGATTTTTAAAAAAAATCATTTTAGGAGTTCACAGAAAAAATGGATAAAGATTTTTTTAAAACTTTATCCAGTTTAAAGGAAAAAAATCCAAAAATATATGATAAAAATATTCATTTTTTTGATGCTAATGACAGCCAAAATCAATCAACAAAAACAAAAAAAAATGGTGAATTTTGTTCAATTGGAAAATATCAGAGAAAAATTCTTTTAGAAAATGATGGAAAATTTAGTGACGATGAAGGTAATATCTTCTGTTCAAAACTTAATTTTTTGAATTTACAAATTTTAATTAAATATTATAATTAATTTTATGTACATAAATAAATTCAAAATTATTATTATAAAAATTAAAAAATTTTTGATATTAAACATTACAATTAATTATAAATTTAGATAGTAAAAAGCCTCTAGAAGAAATGACTAATGT